GGAGCTGAGGGCGCTCGGGGCGGAAGAGGCTGAGGACGCTCGGGGCGGAAGGGGGCTGCGGGAGGGGTGGGGCTGGAGTGAGAGGTAGGCTCCCCTAGTCCAGCAGACTGGTCTCCCACGTGATGAGACCAGTTTAAAACCAAAAAGCCTGGCTGTCCAAGGCGTGCCAGCGCAGACGTCAGACCTGTGCGTGAAGAAGCCACCCAGGCAGGGTACCCAGCAGTTGGCGTAATGCCTATGTCCCTGGACCCCCATGTAATCCACCATGGTTGGAGTCCCAGACCCGGTGGCTTAAACTCATATCAGGCGCGCGCACGCGTGTTTATGTGTGTGTGTGTGTGTGTGTGTGTGTGTGTGCCCAAGATCCGGAGAAGGGATTGCGGCGTGGCCATCCCCCCTTTCTCACCTGCCTCCCCAGGGATCAAACGTGCCTCCACCCACAGCCCAGGTGCTGAGCTGGGATGAGCCAACGTGCAGGTTGGGAGAGTGGAGTCCAGCGAGGTGTGAAATGTAGGCCTTCCCGCAGTGATTAGAGTGGTGCCGGGACTATAAGGGAGCATGGCAAGCACGCACCCACTCCTCCAGGCCAGGGCCCTGCGCACTTCACCCACTAACATGAGAGCCCTCCCCAGACACAGCCTATGACCTCGGGCCTATGGAGCTGAGAGCCCTCTGTCTAAATCCGCAGACTCTCAGGCATGTCAGTTATTAGCAACACAGCAAACTAAAACCCCCAGTAGCCAGATACTCTCCTGCCCCGATGACAGAAGGGCTGACTAATCGGGGTCTCATAGGAGGGGGCAGTTGTTGCAGCAGATAAAGTTTCCATTTGGGAAGGTGAAACATTTCCGGAGATGCTTGGTGGGGTGGTGGCGTAAGAGTGCAAATGTGCTTAGTGCCACTGACCGTACCCAGTGTGGTGGCTGCTGCTGCAGGCCTCGGGTTCACGTCCTGGGCCAGCCTGAACTGGCCAAGGGTGGCCACCTGTGGTCCTGAATAACCTAGCAGCTGGGGCAGAGGACCTCTACCACAAGACCTGGTAATACCTCTCTGGGACCAGTGATGGAGTAGTGGTTATGTCGCTGGACTTCCACATGGTCAACCACAGTTCAAGTCCCAGACCTGGTGTCTTGAAAATCACACTCGGTGCATGTGTCTGTGTGCCCAAAATCTGGGGAATGGAGGAGGAGAGATTGCTGTGTGGCCATCCCCCTTGGAGTATGATGTCTCACTCTCCCTCTTGCTGTCTCTCCATCTCTGGTGAGCACATGTGCCCTAAGGCAAAAACTTCTAAAGAAAAAAGAAAAGGAAAAGAAATACCTCTCTCAGGCCAGCGGGTGGCCTGAGGGTTATAGTGGCTGGATCCCACATGACTATGTGGTTCAAGTCTCGAACCTGCTGCCTTGCAAAACACGCTGGGCACATGTGCGTGTTTGCCTGAAATACCCAAAGGAGGGAGAAGCGGGGGACGGGACTGCACGTGGCTGTGCCCCAGTGTGGGGTGCTTTCTCACTCCTCCATCTCTCTCCCTTGCTCATGGAGGAAATAAGTAAACTTAATAAAGAGCAGGTGGTGTGCTAGAAACAAGGTGGCCCCGCAGCCTGAGAGGGCGGGAGCGCAGGCACGGAGGCCAGGGCTGGCCGTGCCCCTCTCACCCACCGCTGCGTCCCCTTCCTCACAGTGGTGCCACGCGTTTGGGGCGTGTCCTAGACTGCAGTTCTGGGGAAGGTCGGGCCGACTCATGAACCACCAGGCTGGGCTGGGGCTTAAAAATGAGTCCGGATGAGGTCACCAGGGAGGTGGCCAGTGAGAGACGGGCCAGAGGAGGGGCTGGGAACCGCAGCCAGGAGCGGGCGTGGTGCCCATGTGCGGAACGCTGCCGGCCGGCAGGTGAGTGACCGTGAGGACGGTGGCGGCGTCCCGGGCTCTGTGGGGAGAGGTTAGCGGAGAGTGGGGGTGCTCGCCAGTTCCCTAAGCCTCGCATTTAAGGTTCTTTCTCCTTTCTAAAAATTCCAGGAGACATATGTGCTCACCAGAGACAAATTGAGGGAGAGGGAGAAAGCACCCCCCGTGGAGCCTGGCCACGCGGGCTTCTTCTCCATGTCTCCCCCATGGGGGTGTTAGGTATGCACACGCACGCCAGCATGTTTTTCAAACCACTGGGTCCAGGACCGCTCAGTCCCTTTACCAGCAGACCACAGGCTGGCCCTGTAGTTCCAGTCTCACACAGGGTCCCATTTTATAGATGGGAAATGAGACGCCAGGAGGAGAACCACTGCCTGGGGTGGCTGATGACCTGGGAGCTGGGTTTGAGCACCCCACTTGCTGCTTACGATGGCGACAGCAGGGCCTTGATGAGCCAGGTAACCAGGGTCATGCCAGCAGCCAGCCCTCAGGACAGGGCTGCATCGCTGGCCTCTGGGGATGAGCACAACCCGCTGCCTGAGCTACGTTTATTTGAAAGTTACGCAGCAGAATTCCAGTTCCGCATAAGCTTTGTAGAGATCTTGAAAAATACCCAATAAGATTTGCTTCATTTTTTCCCCTAGAGAAAGATTATAATTGCACAGTTTGATTTAGATGCAATTGGAACTCGGGAGAGAAGAGTAGAAACAAAGGGAGACCCCAGTCTTAGACGTTGTGCTGGGAAATCAGGGACCTTCCCACGTGGTAGCTGATCCAGTCAAAATAATTGGCCACTTTGGTGTAAACGCCTGGGAACTCGGGTTTTCCACAGTTCTCACCCCAACTCACAACACCCCAGACGTAGGCCACGCCGTTGTCGTCTGTGCAGACCAAGGGGCCTCCAGAGTCCCCTTTGCAGGCATCGATGGAGCCGTCATCCGTGCCTGAGGAGAGGGACACAGAGTCACAGATGCCCTCCCGCCAGGCCACCGCAGCCCCTCCTCTGCCAGCGCCTGTGCAGAGCTGGGCCTTTTCTCACTTTCCTGGCATGGCAACACCACGCCTCTCCCTCCTGCACCCCTGCCTCGCACAGAGCCCAGAGCAGTGCTGCCTGCCACCTCTGCCCTCCGAGTGGGCGCCGTCCTGTCCCCTGTGCAGCTGTACGGAGGCAGCACAAGTGAGCACACCTCTAGGGCAGCCGCTGTGGCATGCTGGGCGAGGGACCCCGGACTACGGCGAGTGGACAGGATGTGGCGGAAGCGCAGGGCAGCTGCAGGGAGGGAAACGTGTTCTGCCCCAGGCGCTGAGGGGACATAACTTGAACTTTATTTAGGGGTAGGTTTTTCTTTTAGAGATTTTTGCTATATGGCACATAGGCTCACTGGAGAGACAGACAGAAAGTGAGAAATCCCCCCGGGGTGATGGCACTCTGCAATCCCTTCTCCTCTGTTCTCCTCTCCGGACGGTGGGCGCACACATGCCGGTGAGAGTTTTAAGCTGCCAGGTCTGAGACTTGAACTGCGGTCAACTACGTGGGGGTCCAATGACGTAAGCATTACTCCATCTGCTGATCCTGCCTTAGGTGTGGTTTTAACTGTGACCTTGCTGTAAGTATGTCGCTGCTCTGCATCCCCATTTCCTTCTCCGTCTGAGTTTACTTTTTATTAACAATAGCACGCTCCGCATGCTGGGGAGGGGAGTGGCAAAGACAGAGACACGGCCTGGACAGGTGTCAGCCGCAACCCCCTCCCCTCAGCCCCAGCTCGCCAGGATCCGGGCACACGCGTGCCCATAGCACGTTTCCAGGCAGACCAGGGACTCGAGCCTGTGGTTGCCATGGGGCTCCAGCTCTGCAGCTCAGCATACCACCTGCACCGCCGAGGCTGGCCTAACGTCCCTCATGGGCACTCACACCAGGGACATGAATGGTAAGTGGCAGGGATGGGCCATGAGCCCAGGCCTTCCCCAGAGCCTGTGCAGGCCGCCTTGCCTTGCCCTCAGCAGCTCCAGCATGGATTTCCCTTCGTGTGAAAAGAGGAAGCTTGAGTTGCCTCCAGGAAAGGCCTGGGAGAGTCCGAGCATTTGCACTGGCACAGCCTGGCAGGGAGGATCCGAGACCAGGCTGTGGAGCTGGAGTGGAGGGGCAAAGAGGGAGGGGAGGGCAGAGGAAGAAGGGGAGGAGGAGCGATGTTGGGGGAGCACAGCTTCTCAGATTTACCCTCACACACACTCACACCCACACTTGCCTGCACACTCACCTGCACACTCCATCTCTCTCTTGTAGAAGCGGTCGTGGTAGAACCTGGAGCAGTTCTCTATCAGGTTCACCATGCCCCACTGCAGTGTGTAGACCTTCTGGTTGTCTAAGCAGAGAGAGAGACACTTTGAAGTCACAAACAGCAAATCTAAATACTCTTGTAATGTACTGAACAATTAAATTGCGTCTCCATTTCCATACCTGAATTTACTTGTTTTTTATTGTAAAACGTAAATATTGGGTCGTTGGAAAAGTCCTGACTTACTTTTACCTAGAAAACCACGTCAGGCTTGCCCAACGACGTGATCTATGTAATACACGCGTCGCTTTCGAGGCTGAGACCTTAGCAGGTTTATGGTACGCCTCCCCCCAGTCTGACAGTCGGCTCTGTGGTGGGAGGGACTGCCGGGTGGGAGTGACCAAGGGCCTTTCCCTTTGCCTGCCGAGGCCAGCGCAGGTGGGTAAGAGCCGGGACCACCTGCAGGGCTCAAGGCAAGTTAGCACGTGTGTTTACAGCGTCCACACCATCCAGAGACGTGCTGCGGTCTGAGTCCCTAAGGCCAACGCAGTGATGCCGTCAGGGTCTCGGCTAACAAGAGAGGCAAAGAGGTCCACGGGAAGCGGGAGTTCAAGGCTAAGCCTTTAAGGTGAGGGGACGTGCTGGCTGATCTAACCCTCATTCATCCCGGTCTTTCTAGGGATTTCTCAGTGTGGGCCTCTCAGTGGCGTGCTCACCTCGGGTCTTCCTAGAAGCTCAGCAGTCCCTCCCGTCCTCTCTCTCTTCATGAGGAGTAGGGCACAGGGGCTGAGAAGGACAGAAGGCAGGCCAGGGACAGACTGGGCGCATCCCAAGGCCAGTCCTGGGCATTCCTTCTTATCCACAGTCCGCGTCTCTCCAGAACGTCCCCAAAGTCCATGCCGTCTATGTCCCCCTGCGAGTGGGCACCCTCAGTGTTCGCCTCAGGGCCCCAGATGGGGTGTCTGTGTCCTTGGACTGTCTGGACAGGGACTGGCTGCATCATTTATAAGGCCCAGTGAAAAATGGAGAGGTAGGTGGGGCACCCTTGAAAATGATGCAGAATTCCATGCCGTGGCTAGAGCCGGGGGCCCCTGTGAGCACGGGGACACGGTGGTCTCTCCGAGCCCCAGGGCAGCATCCACGCATTTCTCTCTGCTCCTTCCTGAACCCGGACTGTGATGGACAAATGACAAGCACATACCTTTCTCCCGGCCCCAGCCAGACACGACACAGCTGTGGCCAGGCTGGAACAGGTACGGGGACCAGGGCACGCAGGCGGGGATGGAGTTGGGCAGCTCGCACTGTTTTCGGCTCAGAGGTTTTTTTATTTTGATCAGAGCAATGTCGTTTTGGTAGGTGGTGCCATTGTACTTTTCATGAACAATAATTTTCTCTACAAATTCCACAACTATTTCCGCATTGGGCTTTATCCAGTCTACTAGCGCGGTCCAGATTTGGTAACGGTGAGCTTTACTGGCTCTATAACAGAAGGAGAAGGGGGAGGAGACACAGTGAGAAAAAAGTCACGTGGATCTGACACTCAATCTGACACTTCATGTTCTCCCTTTTTAGCTATTTTTTTTTCTTTTGCTATAGGGGGTGTGTACTTGGCAGACATAGCGTCAGAGACGGGGAGAGGGAAAGTGAGAAATTACCCCTGGGGATGGCCAAGCCCTAGTTGCTTCTCCTCCATCCTCCGTTCACGATTTTGGGTGCACACACGCTCCCAGCAGGATTTTGAAGCCACCAGGGCTGGCTTCGACCTGCAGTCGGCCACGTGCCCTCACCACCACCCCACCTACTGGCCCCAGGCATCTTGTCTTTTGAAGTAAGGGGCTAAATAAGGACTTTGTAGTCTAGCATTTCAAAACAATAGAGTACCCGATAAAATGGATTCTCCTTAAACAACAAAACTTAATTAAATGGAAATCTTTAGAAAAGGTATCACCTGAGGACCAGCAGACGGCGGAGTGGTTACAGCACTGGACTCCCGCGGAGTCGGCTGCGGTTTGAATCCTGGACTTGGCAGCTTGAAAGTCACACAGGGCGTGTGCGTGCGTGCCCAACATCCCGAGAGAACGGAGGAGGAGGGATTGTGGTGTGGCCGTCCCGCCAGAGGGGTTTTCTCACCTTCTGTCTCTCTGTCCCTCTCAGTCTCTGGCGAGCATATGTGCCCTATAGCCAAAACAAAAACTCTCTAAAATACAGTGTGTCGCCCATGTACCTCTGTCCCCACACGGTGTAACTGAGCAGTTTAGCCTCAGTGACTCAGGGACTCGGCCTGCAGGTAAACAGTGACCCCGGGAGAAAGGGGCGTCCAGGGTGCCTTCGTGGTAGCCGGAGAGAGCGTGCCTCCACCCCGGCTGCTCAGTGTCGGAGGCCCTGAGCACGCTTACACGCTCAGCTGCTTTAGGAATCGGCGGGCTCAGCAAGCACACATGCACCTGCTGCGTGTGCCAGGTACCGCGGTCAGCGCCCGTGCAGAGGTAAGTGAGACTGGTGGCCCCACCAGCTTCACGGTCGCGGCAGGGGTGTCCTGAGCGGGTGGGATGGGGTGGGCAGCAGGGTGTTTCAGAAATGGCGCGAGCCAGGCAGTGGCGCGGCAGGAACGGACAGGCCCCTGGCCCCACGTGGACTCCAGCACTGTGGCCTGTGCATGCTCATGACCCAGGCTGGCTGAGCCCGGGGGGACGTGGCAGGGAGACGCTGCTGGGAAGTCCCTATCGCTCTCTCATGGAAGAAATAGGTGAATAAACTTAAAAAAATAAACGTTTCAAGACGGCTTTGACTAGCGGTATGGCTCAATGGGCAGTGGAACTCAGTCCCAACCTGCTCATCCAGGAAATGCGAAGGGAGAACCCGGCCTCGCTCGGCGGCTGACATGGATGCTGGAGTTGGCAGCCACGGGAGGGCCTGCTCCGGAGGGGCCTCCCGCCCTGGCAGCATGGCCCCGGTTCCTCCTGCCTGGCCGGCGCCCTGCCTTCGGGAGCCCTGCCTGCCCAGGGCTCCTTACCTGACACAGTGCGCGGCCGTCAGCACCCAGCAGCCGCCGATGTAGATGCCCCCGCACGTGATTTTGCTGTCGTCCTTAATCGCCACCTGCCACGGGAAGTCCCCCTGGGAAGACACTGGGCATCACGGTGGGCCACCAGGCAGATACCCGGACAGTGGCCCCAGGACTCTGGCGTTGGGAGGCGCCAGCTCCAGGACCACATCAGCGCCGTGGATTTTCCCCACTCGGACCCCTCCGGGCGGCTCGCGGCTCCCGCAG